GTTTATATTTAACCTTATTGGTTATGATTCATGTCATTAACTACGTATGAGAAAGTATTTGCCTTCGTTTATTTGCACAGACCTCGCTCGCTTCTTTGTCGCTGCGTGTGTACGAAAACACAATTGGCTTCGATGTTTAGTTACATGAATAGTTTCACTGTTTTGTTTTGACGTGAACAAGGTAACAAAAGCGCCTGACAGGTGGATAGTGACCAGTGACCTGGTAGTAACTGGTCAATTCTGGGGGTGTATTTGGGGTTGGATCTTTGCATTAAATTTCAGTGCATTGTATTTAGGGAATCCCGTGAATTGTGATGCACTTGATACAATTTTATTATTCAGTAACCACAAAGTTTAATTAACAAAAGCTATGATTATAAAGTAGGAAGTTATAGTCAACAAAATGATGAATACTCGAAGATTTTACTCATGGAACTTAGGAAATTAGTGGAAACTATATAATAAGGGAAGGCGGTTAAAAACCAACACAATAACACTGCCTTCTGAGTCCAGCAATGCAACTAGTGGATTACACTGTATACACCTTTATTACACGCATGTGTGCATTTGCGTTGCTCGTGATTTTTTTCCGAAATATTTTTCAATAGAAAATTTAAGGCTACAAGAAGCACAGTACAGACTATTTTTGGATAGAGACTTATGTACCACTGCTGCTATTACACTTGTACAAGCAAATATTGTTTTCTTATATAGAGAAATTATGTTGTTTTTACGATATAGGTTCAAGTTTTTTACGTGCTTTCCAAAAATGTAGAAAATAATTTTGTGACTCTGATGTATGAATTGGAACAAAAGATTTCGCTCAGAACGCAGGAAATCGCATTTCCGAGGTCCTAGATTTCAAAATATCCAGGGAGAAGATACCCCCGGACACCCCTTCAAAAGCGAGGTGTTAGGCATCAGTCAGCTCAGGAAAAGGATCCGCCCCCGGTTTTATACAGTTATATTGTATGAATACAGGGGAATATGATGCTCCGTGCTCCAAACCCATCGCAAAATGCTGCCGGTTAACAAAGGATCTGCATTTTGAAATGCATGTATTACCAACAATGCGAATGATTCACGCTCAGGAACTAAAGATAGATCTGCTTGGCTGTAAGTTATGAGGTAAACAAACCTCGCATTTTTTGGCTGGAAATTTTGCACTCAGGTTTCGCTAAGTACTAAGACATCGTTCTCTACGATGTTCAATAATTAGTTATACGAAAATATTGCTTTGTCTTTGTAGAGTTGCAAACTAAGTTGTAATTGTATAAATCCAGATAATACGTAAAAAGCCACTTGACATGTAATGTGATAGGTGACAACATAGATCGGAAAGTAAAAGAAAAACTAAATATAACCTGATTTACTAATTGTTTGCCTCCTTTGCTAAACAAACAAGCCTATTTTATCATTTGATCAAGTCTTAAATTCTGAAATCGAACGGTTTGAAATATGTGATAATTTCAGACAATCCTGGCAAAAATTATTGTGGATACCGCGTGCGTCAAACAAAAACAGATGAACTCAGACAAAACATGTACTGACAAAAGGTCAACAAGTGTCCGGTTCATATCATGCTCGGATTTCATAATCCCTTAAATCTCTCGTTTCTCGATTTATATATAACATTCCTAAGATATACGCACACTTTTGTACACCTTAGACATTGTGCTATCTACAATCAGTGACAAAACACTTTGGACAAAATAGCTAAACAGCGTACGTTTACAACATAATCGACCCCCCGCACCCCCCGTTCAATGTTGTGTGTGGAAATACCTGCCCAAAATGTTCCTTGTCAGCCACCCAACATTGTTTAGGGTGGGGGAGGGAGGGATATTGGCTTTATGCTGAACAGTATTTGGAAATGCGGAGATATGTATATATTACACAACTGTCCAAAAACCTTTTGTCACTGATTGTATGCAACTGGCAGAATATTGTATCATAAATATCAAGTATTTATTACATGTTCAGCCTTGATTGATTAAAAAGTTTAAATTTACCAAGTACCTGAACAAGTGTTTACCCATTATTTGGCTGGTCGGCTCATAATAAAGTAATTTCAGTTAATTAAGCGTGATATAGGTATAAATTCATACACGTATAAATGGCTTAAAAAGTAGGGTTGGGGAAACCATCCCTTATACCGTGATGTGAGTTTTTGCAGGTCTTAGAAGGTGACACGGTTCATTTTCCAGCCCCGAAAAATCAGATGAGCAAATATATTGTTCTCGAGAAGGACACGCCATTCTTTGCAACGAGTGGCGCCCCACTTATTTCAATTAACAATGGATCTGTTGATCGCGTGAACACAGAAATGATGAATGTAAGATGGCGAATGTTTCCGCTTCATAGACAAATTCCGCGTGATGAACAAAGAAACATTGCGGCTTGCGCTCGATGCTTTGCTGAGTTAATATTATACGCTGAACAGTGATCTATAATGATGTATTTTAATTTAATGTAGGCTACATTAAGGTGTTAACAAATATGTATTCTGGTCATCCCTAACTAAGTGGCTTATGACGCATCAACGAATCCTACACGAATCCCAGTCACATTTTATGTAGAAAAGGGAATTAAGTTCAACAATTCTTGCTGTTTTTCTCTCTTAGCTTATTGTAAATATGTCAAAAGAATTGATCATGTGGTTAACTTCGAGCTAAATCAATTTGATTCCATGAAATTCCAACTTTCGTCGAACGATTCCCACTATTTATAGTAAGTTGAAATATGACATCATAATTAGTAAATAGAAAAGTGGGATTCGTCGACTTTTTACCCATTTTCTCTGTCTTTTATAACGAAACGCACGCGTATTTGAAGTCAAAGTATTAGTGTATTCCTTACGCACGCAACTGTGTGTTTAAATTCCCAACAGCGATCATATACATGTGAGAAAATATGGAAATTATTACGCGAACATGTGTGGGATTCGTTGATACGGAAATACGATGTACAATCCGTTGTCATAGTAACTTTGTCAGTATTTTGTTCTAAAGCCGTCAGCTTGCAATACAGCGTGTATTTGCTTAGGCATGCTTGTGATAATATTATTTACATAATCTACAGAAACATTATATAAAGTTTATATAACTCTAGTCTTAAATTGTTCCCATGTCTCACGCACAATCTGTGAGTGTCTAACTTGAGCATCAAGCTGCTTCTTAACTATGTGAAACATGTTTTCTATTGCATTTAAGTCTGGAGATCGCTGGGATAGAAAATAACTCACATCCCTCTTCCTTTATAGCTGTCTTAGCTGCTAGGCTTCGCTGAGACGGGTCGTTGTCCATTATGAACCATTTTCTTCCACGCTTGCGCGATAGTAGCGCTGGAATTAGGTATATATTATACCACTGTCCAAAAACCTTTTCTCACTGATTGTAGTGTTGTGGACACTTGTTTTGGGAGAGATAAAAAGTGAGTGTCACTTTTACCTCAAAGTTGCGTGACTTGCATAATTTACTATAGGACAATTTCACGAAATTGCCAGCGCTCCGTGTTTGAAGCGTCATAACACCGTTTTGCCATGCGCAATGTTAAAATATACGCGTAGATTAAAATGACTGGGCGTTTGTGGTCATTACGAGCAATTCCGGCGGTGTCATTTCGAGGTTGAAAATGTTGTACGTGTACAATTATGATCGCGACTTCGCCATTCATTTGGCATTGCATGTTCGTTGCATTTATTTTCATATTTACTTATTGTCTGTTGTTCATGCTGCAAACGAGGAAAGATATGAATAAGAAAGCCATCAGCAGTTATCGGGAATCGAGATTTCGAAAATTTAATAGTAAATGTATAGAAAACATCAAAATTACAAACAGTACAAACTTTTCACACTGGTCGGGAAATCCTTTCTTTGAGCCTCGATAAGCAAGTAAGTTTGCAAGTTTAAATTATTCACCCTCATTTGGCTTGTAAATAAGCCGAACATTTGCTAGTTTCCAGCAAATTCTCGATTCGCTTATTTATATAAAATTTGTGTGGTATATCTTGATGAACCATTGTCATTGAGAGTCAGTGAAGTTTTATTATGTTTGAAGTCCCTATAATTCTGTAATTTGTCTATATCATGATAGTTATTAAATATACTTTTGTCCTGTCAACTTTTACTTCAAGCTTTCGTGGGAATTTCTCACATTTAAAACGCTCTCGGCGTCGGTGGTCGCCATATTTCATTGCGTAAAATACAAAATGCGTCACGCGCATAGGTTACGCGTACCGAGAAAATTGATGCTGCGCAAGCGCACAGCTAAATGGCAAATGTCGATTCAAATAGGCTCATGTTTTGGTATCTCTACAGAATTAATCCCCAGAAAATTTATCCCCCTCCTACCCCCAATTCAATGAATTCAATGTTGGTAAATGAAACTTTTAAATTTAAATGCAAGAGACAGGATAGGGGGCAGGGGGCGACAAATTTCATGAAAGAACGTCTCAATGTTAATATTGGCGTTAGAAAAGTGAGGTGTCCACATAATTTTTGCCAGGATTGTAGCTCTGCTTTTAATAAGTCAAATATTTGTTCTACAGGGAAAAATCAAAGATTTTTGTGTCATTATTGTTGGACGCCTTCTCCAAACCATGATTTGTGTGTGTTTAATGGTTTCTTATTTAACTAAACTGTAGTACAATCATACAGATCGTATTGAATATAATAATAAAACTAGTTACGGTTACTAATGCAAAATTCATGTAAAGTGCTGCATTATGAGAACACGACGTGTTGCATTTACTCAGGGTAGGGCCTGGTCATTCATATCTTGTAAAGGATTTTCATTAGGATCGCCAAGGTTCCTTCTTCAATACGATCAATTTCTTCCTCTTATAAAATTGTACAGGACTGCTGTTGCCACAATAATTGTAAGGGTAGTGGAAAGTTTTGTTCTAATGGACATGGAGAGACGGGGATTAGAATAACCTTTTCCAGACCCCGAACATCCTCTCCACTGTATTTCTTGTACGAATTTGCGATACATTGTATCTAAGTTCGGGGGGAGTCTATGGGTCCACTAGAGGTGTGAGGTGTCATCAAGTATGGTGGACAAGAATAGCCATTATCACCAAAAAGCTTGCCTTGGATGTCGCTACGCTCAAACTGCGCACACAAACGACTGTTCTCAGATATTCTTGAGTCGCGCACGCTGCCCGCCCACCGTACAACAATGTTTTGTATTTCTAGATTTGGGCCGGAAACTGCTTGGACATTCACTGAGAAAAAACCCTTCCGATTTCTAAACAATTTTGCGTTTGCACCTCCTGGGCATGGAATTTTTATATGCGTACAATCAATCGTCCCAACAACGTTAGGAAATGCGCATATTCTCCAGAAATCAAGTTTAATTGGTGGTGGTATATCAGCAGTAGGAAATTGAATATAATGTTTTTTTAGTCCAGCAATGGCCTCAGATACGCGCTTAATAATGCAACTTGCAGACGGTTGAGATATGTCACACAGGTCTCCACATGCTTCCTGAAACATGCCAGTTGCGTAATAACGCAATGTCAACAAAAGCTTAATTACTGCAGGAATTGGATTACCTCGTTCGTTATGAGCAGATATATCTGCCTCTATAATGTTTAAAATATCCAAGAAACATCCTTGGTTAATCTAAATCTGCTTCTAAATTGCTCCTCATCATACATTTCGTAATTGAAATTGTAATTTCTATTCTCGTTTCTGTTATTGCGTCGCAAATTGTCCAAGTGTTCTAATCTTTCAAGCCATACGTCCGCCATGTTGTTTATCACTACTTCATGTGAGTGTGGTTCAAGGGAGGTATGCCCCACGCTTAAACTCCCCTCAAACTCGACCTCTATTTCGAGAGTGAGTGCCGTTTGTGAATGGTCCGAATGCAAGTGCAGCTTCCCACTCATTGAGAGTGAATGAGTGCTCATTGAGTGCTCAGTTGCACTTACTGAGAATGAGGCGCCACTTATTGAGTGTGAGTGTGAGTGTGAGCTAGCGAGCTTTAGAATACGGGCGTACATGCCCATATTTCCGACCGCAAACATTTGAGCCCACGTTTCCCACCGTAAACACTTAATTTCTATTTTACTTACGCAAGTGAGTGAACAATTTTTTCCTGTGTAGTATTAAGTAATAGTATGGTCTCTCGGACAATTTGAAGAAACATAAACTCGTGAGCTGTTCAAACGACCGTATTCTAAAAGCTCATTCACACTCAAAGAGTGGACGTTCAATCTGAGCTTCTCTCGAGTGTCATACCCTACTAGTGTCGTACCTTACTTTGTGACTACTCCCCAGCCTCTCAAAAACAGCATTAACACGCATGAGAATTGAACTTCCACTCATTGAGTGTGAGTGTGAGCAGGCTTGTAGAAAACTTCAAATTGCACTCATTCATCGCACTCGGCTCAGTTGTGCATGTTATTTCCAAATCGCACTCGGAAACATAATATTACCTATTGTTATTTAGCCAGCGTGAACACCGAACATAATTGGCTGATTTGTGGTGAAGTACTTGATTTCAGATAAATGCAATGTTTCCCACCTGGCAACAAGTGACAAATTCTTGCCCGCCCCGACCGGCTACGTACATAATTAAACTAAATGGCGGTAGAACTCGAGTAAACTCGGATAATTAGAAACTACGATTTTCCAAGTTTGTGTTTAATTAAGGAATGTAAAAGAGAAGTAAAATGCACAACAGGAAACAGGACATGCTGCCGAAACCGTTTAAGTAAGTTGTTGCAATTTTTAGCTTCTTTACTCTATAAAATTTTTGTCACGTAATACAATTGTTGTATGAATGTTGATTTCTTTTCGTCGCTGTAAAAACAAAACACTTAATGTCTGTTCCTCGGGAAATAGTTAGTTTTCCTCGAATCTCAGTGTTTCCCTCGACTTCCTCTCGGAAAACATTGAGATCTCGGGAAAACAAAACTAAGCTAACTATTTCCCTCGGGAGCAGACATTTAGTGCGTATTGTACCACTGTCGACAACCAAAATTGCATAATATGCTTTTGTACAACCTTATTTCGATTATTGCACCTCGTTATGGGATAATTGCGGAATTGGGCTGAACGATATGACGCAAAAATACCATAACGTGCTGCAAGAGTAATTTCTTGGGAGCAACTTACGATATTCAGACATCTGATTTACTGGAGAATGTAAATTGTAAACCTTTCAAAGAAGAACGGAAATATCAGCCACAACAGTAAAATCAAAATGCAACAACGACGTCCACAGGAACACCAGCACCAACAGTATAATTGAAAATATTGATTTAGCCATGCTTACATGGATGTTTACCTGGGAATTCTTTACCATTTTCTGTATAATTATTTCCAATTTGACAAGTACAGTTGTACGAACCTTTGGTGTTGATACATTTCTCGTTCAAATGACAATCGTTGTTGGTCGCACTAGAACATTCATCAATGTCTGAAATGGAAAAGATTGCCAGAATTTTCGGCAATTTATAAATCATCAACGTTGTTTAATCTCCTTGTTGCGCAGGTTTGATTCTGTTAGGACATTTCATACCTGTACAAATGTATCCATCACTATGATAGCCGCTCTGGTATGAAACAACTATTCACACATATTGCGTTTGCCTGACATGAGTGTCAGTCATGCAAACGCGATGTGCAATTGTTGTGAATGGATGTGATGCGCGTGTCGGCTATGTATATTGGATACATTGTACTTCCAATTGCGGAGGTCGAAATTAGTGACTACTTTCAATTTGCAATACACGTAAATTTGCCTCTGCTATGATTTTAAGTTAAATGGCTCAAATGTAATGTGACAAAAAATATTACTATCAAGTTAATATTTAGGTCTTGAGTATAAATTAATTAGCGTGTGTACACGTACAGACAAGTTCATTGCGTCGGTTATGTCTTGCTTTGCCCGGTTTGAAAACTGGCTGATAGCTTTCAGCTCATATACGGTTCGAGCACATCCATGGTATAGCAACAGGAATAAATTTCCACATATGCATAAAATTTCTCAGTTTTGTTAAAGACAAATGACTTTGCGAAATCCTGTTCACTATATTCCACTTAACTACACTTTAATTATCAGCTACCAACAAATCAACAACCACAAATAAGAATATGAATGACAAAAAACCAAAGACCTAGCGCGGATGGTTGCAATAGCAAAAAAAATCACAAACAACAACAATATCAGCAACAATAGGGAAAACAAAATGCAACAAAGACGTCCCCACGAACACCGCCACCAACAATATAGTTGAAAATATTTATTTAGTCATGCGTACATGGATGTTAATTACCTGAGCATTCTTTACCATCTCCTGTATAACCGATGCGACAAGCACAGTTGTAGGAACCATTGGTGTTGATACACTTCGCGTTCGAATCACAATCGTTCCTGGTTGCTTGAGAACATTCATCTATGTCTGAAATGGAAAAAATTGCCAGAGTTTACGGAAATTTATAAATTGAGAACTTTGTTTATTCTCGATTTTGCGTACGTTTTTTTCTGTTACGACATTAGTAGTGTAAAATGCTGCTTCGATGACAGCACTGCCAATCGCCCGGAGATTCGTCCGATCATGCCGACACCAGAATTTTCGAATGCCTCCCTCCACCCGATACCGTATTTTTCCCCCCACCCAATTCGAAATTTTTCCAAACCATCGTTTGGAAAGTCCCCAGCTGATTGAAGCGATGTTGGTTTTTGGTGCGTCGTTTGCAGCCGATCAACGACAACTACACTATTCCTTGTTTAAGACAAATTTTTATCAAAATATCATGGTCGACACAGTCGAAAGCTTTTTTTAGATCGAGAAAAATAATTCCGTTTAAAAGACCATTATCCATATCGATGTACCATTTGTTCGTATTATTCAAAAGGGAAGTTGTAGTCTAACTCTTTTTCCTAAAGCCATGCAGCTTGACTGTCCGACAGCAAGTGGTTAGACTCCAAATATCCATTGAGTTGCCTGGAGATAATCTTTTCAAACACTTTAGGTACTACAGATACAATAATAATAATAATAATAATGGAAACTTTATTAATGAATTTTTTTTTAAGTTACATACAATTGTAAATCTCACTTATATAAGGTAATTCACAATCGTCTACTTGAATCAATAATAACTATACATACACAATATAACAATAATAACAAACAACAAATATATAGTACAATTTTTAAAAGGTTAATAGTTCTGGATTTGTCCATTCTTTGTTTCTGCAGCAAAATATATAGTAAGTTGTTCTGATCGCAATCGTCGTCATTCGTCTAAAGCAGTATTTTTGGTGGTTTTTATCGAAGCCAAAATCATTAAGCATGTAATAATAATAATAATAATAATAATAATAATAATAATAATAATAATAATAATAATAATAATAATAATAATAATAATGGAAACTTTATTACTTTCAATAATATATATACACACTACAATGATAAACCTCTCTTTACAGGTAGTTTACCAGTGTCTACTTGAATTAACACTCTACATAATAACAATATTAGTATGACATTAGTTGTGGGTTATCCCATTCTTTGTTACGCTTACAGAATATATAATACGAGGACCTGATACATATATTAATAATTTTCCGAACATAGTACTTTCTACATTGTTCATCAAACTTTAGATCTTTCAGCATTTCGGTGAAATCTAGCGACGGGTGGCTGAAAACTCCTAATGAGCTAATCGATAAATTTACAAATTTCACTTTTTCATAATTTTTGAGCTGTTCGTTAATTAGATCTTGATATTTTTGTCTTTTTCGAGTTGCATTAGTGAGGAGATTAGATTCAAATCCGACGGTAAGTTCAAGTATATAAATACATTTGTTTTCAAGTGTTATCAAAAGATCAGGGCGCAATTCATCTCCGGTGATAACAGATGGACTGATATAGCCAGGAAGGTCAGCATAAAGGTTACAATGGTTCACAGATTTAAGTATGGATGCTATGAAGTTAAGCACCGAATCATGACGCCACGTGAAACGTCCTTCATTTAGGTAGGTCTTGCATCCAGCGACGACGTGAAGAAGTGATTCTGGATTCAAACAAAACGAACATTCGGATGTTGGTGATATTCCCCATTTCAGAAGGTTTTTGCGAGTCGGAAGAGTGTTATTTATATACCGGATAGTGAAGTTAAATATATTCTTGGGAAGTTTACTCTGAACGGAGGACCATATAGAGTTGAATGAGAGTGTAGAATGTTTAATGATATTGGAGAAAAATGAGCCTTGTGAAATGAGGTGGTGTTGAAGCTTGTCTTCATGTTGTTTCCTGATGGTGTTTAATACGTCCTTGGTGTTTTTGTATTTGTCATACTGTACATTTTTGTGATTGCTAGTATCCTTCCAAAGGTTATTGATCGCTTGATTTGGCGACGACTTTAGGGCTTTCCGAGAAACAGTTTGGCATTGAAGGAATTTGGTTGAAGGTAGAATGATATTTAATCCAAATTTATTGTGGGGAAGTAGGACGTTACTAAGGGTTGCAGAAATA